CTAAATAATTTAGTGGGAAATCATTTAGTAGAAAATCCATAGATTTTCAGAACACATTATCCAAAATAAATACTCTATGCCACCATTACTGCTTGTATGATATAAACATAGTCACTTAATCTTTCATTCCCAGAAATTCGGGATGTCATTTGTTAATGAATACATTTGTCCTTTTCCAGGTATCCTGGTTTTGCTACAGACTCAACTGTTGCCTTACTTGTAGGACTCCTGTTCTTTATTATCCCTGCTAAGAAATTGACCAAAACTACAGCTACCGGAGAAACTGGTTGAGTATTATTTATAATTCCAAATGAATTTGACAGAAGAGCAAAAATATAAAAAATTCTACTGGTTTCAGTTAGCATTTAGAAAAAAAGATGGACACGTTGACACACTTCCAGTTTGCACACTGCAACCTCTAGTCAGGCAGCACACATCTTTCTGCTTAAAAGAAGGATCATCCTACTTTGTAGAAGTGAGAAGTAGATTTCCTTATGCTCCATGTTAGGACTCTGCTCTGAGTGATATTATTTGGTCTTTGATAAGCTCACTTCTCCTCTCATAATCAGAATTAACATTACTATTGGCAAACTTAGGAACAAATTACTTCATGATGAGCCCTTGGCTTGGTACTAAATGCTGAGGATCTACAAAGGTGAGGAGTTTCATGGGAGTTATAAACTCATAATAGTCCTGAAGAAAGTGCAGATCAACCCTACACTAGCTCATAACCTAGTGTCACAATTGGAAGAAAAGGTATTCAGAGGGAGCACTCATTGTCTTTATAACACATGGACAAACGTGTGCATATTTATGTGTATTCACTCCACCCACACACAATCACAAACATGTCTTAAACATAGGATTCATCCACATCTGAATTCTAACACATCATGTTTTAGGAAGTCAGATTCAGATATTGTCAGTGTGGGACAAATGGTTTAAAATTATTTGTAAATAGTCTGGTAGAATAGAATGTGTTTTTTTATAGTTGGTTTTCCTTTTCTCTCTCCCTCTCTCTCTCTCTCTCTCTCTCTCTCTCTCTCTCTCTCTCTTTTGGATGGAACTGGAATTCATTCATGCTCTTGGATTGGCCCACCTGTATCCTTGAGTCAGAATCAATAAATGACTAATGAGTCTGATCCCTAGGTCCTGACAAATATAAACAGTATAGGATAGAAATAAATGCCTTTCATTCTTGAGATTAGAACATCTCAAAGTGCACTATAAAGAGAGGCTGCAGTACAGAGCAATGATTTCTATGAGACCCTGAGAATTCTGACTATTGCAATCTAAGCCCCAGGACCTGGCAGGGGGCAAGGAACTAATGTTTGACTTAACAATCCTGGCTCCAACATCTGAGTACCCCTCAGACAGAGCCTTGCCCCTCTCTCCCATTCTCTTTCATCTTATTCTTCAATAATTTCTCTCCCTGATAGACTCATTTATAGTAGGTTTTAAATAACAGATAAAATGTATTATGTTACATTTTATATAAAAGTACACTTCAAAGATGTTTGTATTTTAACAGAAGATATGGTCTTAATTTAAGTAAGAAATAGCAAAATTTCTGTCAACAGTGAAGAGTATGTTTGGTTTAGGTTTAGGGAAAAGGGATGGGAAGGAAGCTAATTAGTAACCTTAGAATCTCACCAGGTAGAAGGCTAACTGGTACATATAAATGATAAATGGACATAATGTGTTCATGGATGATCTTATTTCTCAATAAATCTATGAAGACAATAGGAATATAAAGAGATATCTTTAAGATAATTTATGAGTATTTTAAGAGTTTCATGAATGATGCTTAAATTATTTAACCTGAATTTTGAATTATTTTAAACTGGAATCCTGATGGACCCGTTATGCTCTCCCCCTTGCTATTTGAAAAAATAATAAAATAGTCCAATATATACTAATGAATAATAATGCAACACGTATGTTATTAGAACCATTGGACTGTTACAGATAGTTTGCATAGCAAAGAATAATGTAGTCCAGTACACTGTTTTACTCATAGTAGGCAAAGATGTTAATGGAATCAAATGAATAGTATTATAAATGACAATGTTATAATTTATCTAAATTCATTCTATAATGTAATCTAAAGGATTTTTCCAAGTTATGACCTGTTTAAGTAATATAATCTTCCACCTAACATAGGTGGAAATTGCTCAAAGTCCAGATCAAACCCCCTATCCTAAAACAACATAGGAGTAGTAAAAACTCCTTGTGAGGTGGCCATTACAATAATGAAGAAAACAATATCCTATCATATTTTAAGCAATGTATAACTGTAGGGGTTTTGTTTTGCAGTTGCTTTTGATTATGCTCCACTGATTACTTGGAAAGAATTCCAGTCATTCATGCCCTGGGATATAGTCATTCTTGTTGGTGGAGGGTTTGCCTTGGCAGATGGTTGTAAGGTAATAATCTGTGTCTAAGATTGTTGTTGTTGTTGTTATTCCTCATATGAGAATGTTTTTCCCATTAATTTTTAGAGACAGTGAGAGGGAGGGAGGTGGGGGGAGAGAGAAACGTCAATATGACAGAGACACATCTATTGGTTGCCTCCCATAAATGCCCGAACTGGGCCTGGGGATCAAACTTGCAAACCAGGTTTGACCCTGAATCAAACCTGTGAGGCCTTGGTGCATGGGCCAACACTATAATCACTAAGTCACACTGGCCAGGGCTGTGTCTAAGATATTTAACAATTAACTAGGCTACTCCAAAAAAAGAACATGGGGACATTCAAGCTTTTGTTATATTCAATTTCATCCTATCATTTTAATGACACAGGTTTCAATAGCCATACAGTAAGTATATTATACAGATGAGGTGAGTTCAGGGTTCAAAACATTTTACAGGCTCCAAGCATAAGTTTTTGTGATGCATGTTAAAAGAAATAAAGCACAGAAGGTTAGAACTCTTAATTCATGAAATAGACTTGCTTAATTATTATTAGACTAGCTTAATAAGAAAAAAAAATCATACATATGGTGACTACTAGTGAAACATTTTTCGTTTATATTTTTACCTTATTTCATGATGGATTTTAGTAGCTCTCAGAGTTCTCTGGAATATATCATGGTCCTAATGTTGTCAAAGAAGGACAATAAGAAATAATAGTAATGTATTACATTATTTATTATATTATTTATTACATATTAAATATATTAAAGGTAATAAATATATATCTGTGGAATAAAGTCCTGAGAGAATTTCACATAACCATGGCTAACATTGTATTCTTTCTAATTTTAGGGAAAAGTAAAACCATAGGTGGTTTAGAGTTGGCTATTTCTTGGCCTATCTATCCAGTTGACAGAAAGTAGATTATCTGGAAAAGTTACTGTCCCTTGAAATTGTCTTGGTCGTTATAGGATTGCTTCAAAAATTCCATAAAAATCCTCTACTCTTGGACAAATTAAAAATCTCTTGTTTCTGGATTTTATAGCCTTCTGTGAAACACTCAAAGATCGTGGCTGTTCTATTTTCTTATTTTGTTATCAAAATAAAAATGATGGTGAGAGAGATGTTTTGTATAGAGAGATGTTTCTGGGAAGTGAAATTTTTACACTTCTCAAGGCAAAAAACTACCTGTTCTGTTTTCTTCTTAATAATCTCTAGGGAGACTGATTTTATTGTCAAATTTTCTGTATTATATTTGGATACTGAGCTTTCAGCAATAAGATTTAGTAATAGATGAAATCCTGAGTGCCACTTTCAAAGTCATTTTCAGCCTACATTTGGCTTGCCTTGTAGACTTCTCAATTACAAGTGAGAGAAATATAAGACAAATAGACTTTTCCACTAGTCCAGCAGATCTGGTTTCTCAGAATCAATAACCTTCATGCCTCTGCCCACTCACTTGAATTGTGAGGAAATCAGAATCAGCAATTCTGGCCTAAATATGAACTTATGTTCATCTTTCCTCCCCAGAATATCTGTCTGGATTGGACACTCAAAAGAGGTTTTAAAAGCATTGGCCAGACTCTAGTCTAGCAAAGTTTAAGGAAATGAGAAGATATGGACCTAGTCTGATGCAGTCAGCTCTCTCACTGGAAGGATGGGGAACCCCTGGAAGAAGGTCTAGTTTGCTATGAAAATCCTAGGACTACTATTCTAGGAATATTAAGAATAGCCCTTCCTTTGGGTGATGGGGTGGAAGCCGAGCTTAATAAATCTGATTATGGGCAAATATGGCCCTAGAAACTGGTTTTACTAAGTTTTTTTTTTTCCTTACAAAGGGACAGAATTTATTCATGCAAACTGCACAGATCAAACAAAATAAAACCTACGAAAAGAACCCCCCAACCAGAAAACCTTCCCTCTCTGCTCCCTGAAGGATGTACCAAACCCAAAGTTTCTGCTCTAACATGGCCCCCAGGACCAGTTAGCGCGAGCTCGGTGCTGAGCCGCGGGCCGGGCAGGGCCAGGCCCTGAGCATCTCTGCGAGCTTGGAGGCAGCTGTCAGTGTGCAGCGTTCGTTCCGCTCACAGAACCAGCCCCAGGGCCTCAGTCTCCGCCACCAAGGCCAGCATCTCCCCTGTGAAACAAAGGCTGCCACTGTGAGCGTGCGTGCACGCCTCGAAGGCCACACGAGAGGGAAGCTGCAGGTTTTCTCGCCTGAGAAAGGCTGGGAGAGGGGCGGACAGCCTCCCACAGGCTGCAGGGACCCGAGGTGGCTTCCCAGAGCAGCAGCAGCTGCAGTGGGAGAGGAAAGGAAGATAGATGCTTACACTTTGGGCTCTGTGTCAGGCACTTTAAATTGTGGGAGAGACATGCCATTTTGAACCAGAGAGGTGAAACTGGGCTGGAATACTCGTTATACAAGTCTAATTAACAGGCTTTCAGAGGCAAGTGGAGGGGTGTGGGCCGAACCTCGACCCATCATCATCCTTTAGCGCTCACTTTCAAGTGTCCTAATGCAGCCGTGGTGGCCACAGCGGCAACAATTCCGCGGTGTCTGCTTTCCCGCGTGTTCCCGGGCTGACCGTCGGGTTCGGGGGTCACGCCGAGAAGACGCTGGGGTGGGTGCGGCGGCAGGCCCACCTACAGCCCGGGGTCGGTCAGATCCACATTGGAGCCGAACGTCTTGACCAGCTGCTCCTCGTAGTGGGTGATGTTCCTCTTCATGATGTCCATGCAGGGCCCCAGCAGCCGCTCGAAGGCGCGCACGTCCATCACCAGGCACTTGACGTCGCCCACGGCGTAGGCGGAGGCGGCGCGGGGCTTGTTGGTGACCAGGGCCAGCTCCCCGAAGTACTGGCCCTTGTGACAGCGGGCGATCTCCACCTCCTGGGCCCCGCCGCCGCCGTCCTTGGCCAAGCCTTTGGTCTTGGTCCGGATCAGGATGCTCACCTCGCCGGACTCGACGATGTAGAAGCTTTCGGCCTTGTCGCCCTGGGCGATGATGCGCTCCCCGTCCTTATAGCTCTTCTCGCCGATCACGTCCACGATCTTCATCCGCTCCGACGCCTCGAGGGACTGCAGGAGGGGCACCGACTCGAGGAACGACTCGAACATCTTGCGTTTCTGGGCGTTGTTCTTGACGATGATCCTCCGGAAGGTGCCCCGGTCCAGGCCCCACAGGGCGCCCTCGGACGTGGCCACGATGGTGGCGGCCCGCGGCGTGTTGTACATGAGGGCGAGCTCCCCGAAGCTGCCGCGGTTGTCGTACTGCCCGACGGAGCGCGTGAGGTCGTCCTTGGTGACCAGGATGTCGTACGTGCCCCGCTCGATGACGTAAAAGTTGTCGCCGTCGTCTCCCTGGTCGATCACGTGGTCGTCCGGGTTGACCACCTTCTCGAACATGGCGTCGAGGATTTCGGAGAGCTGCTCCTGGTCGAGGTTCCGGAACAGGAGGATGTGCTTGCAAGCTTCCTGGAGCCTGTGCCTCTGCTCCTCGGTTTTAGGGTGAACCACCCTGGGTTCCGCATCCCCCTCCTCTTCGGCGTCAGGGTCGTAGCCCTCCGCACACACGGCTTCTCGACGACTCTGACCCTTGGCTGTACTGCGAGGGGGAACCTCCGCCGTCTCCTCCTCCTCGGACTCGCCCTCACCCTCGCCCTCCGCCTCGGTGACGCCGCCCAGGCCCGCTGGCTCCTCCTCCTCCAGCGCCTGCGCTGCGGCGGCGGCAGCGGGAGGTGTCGGGGCAGCCAGGGTTCCGGCCGGGACCGGGCCTGGGCCCTGGGCGCGGGCCTCGCGCAAGCGCGTGAAGTAGTCGATGGCGAAGTCGACGAGGTCTGGCGGCCGCCGCCGCAGCACCTCCACCGTGTAGCCCTTCAGCAGCTCCGTGAGCCCGGGCGGGATCTGGATGTGGCTCATGGCGGCGGTGGAGGCGGCGGCGGGGACACGCGGGCTCCGCCCTCCGCGCGCCCTCACACCTGCCTCGCGCCCCGGGCCCGCGTGGTCGTCTCCTCACGCGAGACCTCCCTCGCACCTGCCGGACAGTCCGCTGCTAGCACGGCCGGCCCGGTGGTGGTGGTGCCGCCGTTGCCCAGGGACCCACCAGCGGGCAGGCGGCACGGGCGGGGCAGGAAAGGGTTGTGACGCACGAGGCCGCGAGCACGCGCCGGTTTCATGAAGTTTTGAAGACAGTTACTTAACTTTCTTAACATTTTGTCCCAAATTGTAATTAGGAAAATGTCCATTAATAAATAAATATATAAATATATATTTATATGTAATTATATATATGTAATTATATATATATATTTATATGTAACTATATATATTTATATGTAATTATATATATTTATATGTAATTATATATATATATATAATCCCTTCTAATTGGGAACAATGACATAGCATTCACCTCATGGCAGTTCCCTCTCTCTTAAGTGTCCCTTGATATGTTTTAACATGTTTGAACTCTCGTGTTCTGGAAGGCACTCTCAAATTCTTACCGGTGAATAACTCCTCCTCTCCCTTTTTCACACATTCCTGAGTTAAAAAATGGAAGAATTGAACACTATTTTTATCAGCTCCCCCACTGACATGGCAATAACAGAACATAAAAGTGTTTATCCATAAAGAATTTATAGCAGGAACAGTAATGTGTAAGAGATGTTAATATTATTTAAAATATGGAAGCTGGATATTTGAGGGGTAACTGACTTTATATTGTGGAAATAGAAAAGGATGAAATCTATGGACCTGAAAAAGGATAGCCAACAAGAAACAATCTGATCCATCCTGAAAGGGTTTAGAAATCAGAAGCAGTAGAGTAGCTGAGAGCTGGGGTAAAATTCAGTACTAACGTTGAAGGATGGCTTCAAGAGTGTATAAGGAGCTGTGAGCCTCACAAATACTCTCTCCAGACCTGAATACACAGGCAACTGCTCTCTTCCCTCCCTAGTAGAAAATTTAGATTGACTCTGTAACAAAATTGAATCAATGAGACGCTGGCTCACGGCTTAGTCACCTACAGTAAAGTATTTTTTTCTTCTTCTTAATAATCGTTGACCAGACACAAAGAGCTTTCAAAACCATTATTTTGTTACCTCCCTTTTAAACATAAATGGACTATATGAAGCCATCAGATAGTTGAAGAAGCCTCTGATACCATAACCAGTAATAAACAAGAAAAATTGAAAAGAAACACATAAAAGCAAAGAAAATGTATGAGGCAAAATACATTTTAAAAAATTTATCATTGAGGCCCCAAAGAGATTTTAGAGACAGTAAAGACATACAAAATAAGTAGAATGTTACTCTTTAAATAAAGGATAAACAGAAATTAAGAAAGATCCACTGAAGATGAAAAATGTTGTAAAAGAAATTTTAAAATTCAGTAGCAGTTAGAAGATGAACTTACCTCAGGGAATAAAACAAAAATATGAAGAGACGGTAATATAAAAAAAGATAAGAAAATTAGAGGAGCAACTCCAAATCTCCAACAGCCAACAAATAGGAGTTCCAGAAGGAGAAGAAAAAGAAGAAAAATAAAAAGAAAATAGAAGGACATTTCCAAAAATAATACAAGAAATTTCCCAGAACTAAAGATTTTGAGATCATGGACTGAAAGAGTTACTACGTGCCCAATATTAAAGCATTTCATGTAGAATTTAGAAACCTTGGGTGTGATGATATGATCCCAGTGGCTTCCAGAAGTGATGATGGAGAGGGGGGTTGGGGGGGACGGAGGGGAGACTGTATGTGGTATAATGTTTGCTAGCAGCATCTAAACATAGATAAAATTCATTCTTACGATATATGTAACTATATTTTAAGATGAACTTCTACCAATATAAATTAAATGGTACGCAGACTTTTCCATCTAAAAGTAAAACATCAACAACAAAAAACAACACAAAAATATAAATCAAGATCACAAATAGCATACATAATATCTGGTATCCATATCAGGGGATTTTTTGCCAACTTTTGATGTAAGGGTATACTGCTTGTAATTAGAGCTTTTCTAACATATGCCAATCCCAGTTTGACCTGGGCATAAAATTCCCACATGCAGTAGTTAAGTGAAATCTCATAAATGGAGGCTTTCCCCAGGTGGGAGTAGCGAATAGAATAAGATACCTATTAATTTGCATCCAGCTGATTTCTTTGAACTGTGTACAATGAATCAAAGATCAGAATGTCATCAGACTTTCTGGCTGAGTGATAACTATTTCAAGTCTAGAATTTTACAAGAGCTCAAGTATCAAAACAGTGTGAAAAGGAAATAAAGAGGTTTTCAGACATGCTGAAACACACAAAAACAAAGCCTTCCATTCACCAGTTCTCAGAAAGCTATAGAAGGTCTCCACAACCACAAAGGCATTAAGAAGAAAGGATTCTCTCAGAGGGAGGTGAGGGGAGAGCATAGTACACCAATGAAGAGAGGCCTCAGAACAGCAACAGTAGAATTGACATGAAGGGCAACAAGTCCAGATGGAATAGAAAGAGGGAAGACTCCAGGACGGACATCTCCCTGGGGGAGAATGAGATGGAACAATATGTTTGTCTACTTGTATGGAGTTTTTCAATTTTACTAGAGAGTATGCTGAAAATCCATGACAGATACTTAGAAAACCAAGCAAAGAATGAGTCTATTATTTCCTGGGCAAACAACAGTAGAACAAAACAAACAAACAAAAATATGATGACAAAACATTAAGTGACTTATTATGAACAATGTTTATATAATCATAATGGTAAACTTTAAATATTGATTTAATAAAAAATGTTGAAATATGAGTATAAGGGGATGGAGGGAGAGGAAATACATGTGTAGTGGGTGAGATCTGGTGAAAGAAGACAGAATCCTTATTTGAATCAATAAATAATGTCTAAATTTGAAAATTAGGAAAAAGGGTACTTAAAAAAAATAGACATAAATACCTAAACATAGCTGTAAATAGCTAATAGTTGAGAGTTGTTTTCTCTACGGAACACTATTTAGGAGTGGAGGGAGGTACACAAGAAGGGCCGCTCTTTTTTTTACAGTCGGGTAGTTCTACTTATAAATGTCCACATATATTAATTAGATAACCTTAACATCTAATTGAAAAATATAGAAGACAATTCAAACTTTCTAAAACATATTGGTAGTGTTAAAATAAAAATAAATGAGAGCTTCTCCAGGTCAAAGCCACCCAGATCTGCCAAGCTACAGGGAAATATGAGAGGTTAAAATTATATGTTAGAAACAGAGGTCTTAGAGAAAATAATGTTTTGTTTTGTGTTTTTATAAATTTAAAGTGTCCATTAAAATGAACTATTAATGAATAACAAATGTAAATTTGTTCTTGTAGGACTCAGGACTATCTGAGTGGATAGGACAGAAATTATCTCCTCTAGGATCATTACCACCATCGCTAATAATTCTGATATCTTGTTTGCTGGTCACATCTTTAACAGAGGTAGCCAGCAATGCAGCTACCATTACTCTCCTTCTCCCAATATTATCTCCACTGGTGAGTATCTCACTTTTCCCATTTATGTTCTTTATCAAAAGCAGTGTTCTGCTTTGCCTGTTCTCATACTGTGGTGTAGAATCATTTTGGGCCTGAATGGTCCCCCTGGAAATCACTGGTAGAAGGGTCCTTATTTGCATTCCTACCTTTTAGGAGACCTCAACTCAGCAGAACTCTTTTCTTCCACAATCAAGCAGCAGGATCTTAACCACTCACCCTGATTTTCAATTTGCAGATAAGTGGGATGGCAAACCCAGATCCTTTCCAGCTGTTTCCTGACAATTGTAGTATTTAGACCTCTAACTCTGACACTTCCCCCTCCAGATTAGTTCTGAATTTCTGAGAACTGCTTCATATACAGTAAGTGATTGAAAACCTGGGTTTACAATTCAGGCTTCAAGCTTAAATATCTTATACACAATTCTCAACCGCCCAGGGAAGAATTTTAAGAAGCAGGTCTGCAAGGAGAGAGAAGGATACACTGTCTTCCCTTCTTCTCCCCACCTAGCTAGCAATGACAAGACATAGCTTTAAGTCAATGTTTTTCTTATCGGGACAGATGGGTTTGGTGAAAGGAAAACACTTTAAATTAAGAGGATTGCCCTTCTGGAATTTTTCTGCTACTAGCTCAAAGGGCATATGTTAGCATTCTTGAGCTGATGCTTCAAGTTAGAAAAAAAAAATTTAAATTGGCAAGTAATTTTTTTTTTTCTTTCTGGTTTTTATTTCTCAACATAGAGCAGCTAGAAAAGTATGTGATAAGTTAAGAATCATGCTAATTTTCTTCTGTGATGATCCCTAAGCAAGTTTTAACGTATGTGTGTCACAGAGGCAGTGAAGTTCATGGGATGATGAGAAGCTTTGGGGCCAGAGGGGCCTGAGACCCCACCTAAGCTCTATGCTTGTCAGCTGTGTGTTTGATGAGTTACTTTTAGACTTTTCAGGCCTTGGTTTCTTCATCTGTTATTTGCTCATAAGGGCATTGTGAAAATTTATATATACATACATATATATACATATATATATAAAATTATATTATTTTATACATTACATATAATACATGGAAGCTTCATATATTATATATAAACACATATATTTTATATACAGGTAAACACTTAGCATAGCGCCTAGTGCCCAATAAATAATAAGTGGTGGTTGTTTTTGTTTAGTTTCTGGAATAAATGAAACTTGATTTTTCGAAATAAACTGAGCTATAATACTCAAATGGGCACTAGCAAGCATATATACAAGAGGAAGAGACATTATATGAAAAATATTCCTCAAGTTATAATTGCATTTATGTATAATTTTATGCCTTAGGTTTCTACCTGCTTCTGGGAGTCTGTTATTCTAATTTTGCTCGTTTTTATGCTTGATGCATCTAAAATATTACTCAGACTCTTTTTTTTAAATTCTTTTGCAACAGGCTGAAGCTATTCACATGAACCCTCTGTATATTTTGATACCTTCTACTCTGTGTACTTCATTTGCATTCCTCCTGCCAGTAGCGAATCC